GAGCCATGGGTAGCTGACTTGTGTCACAGGGCTGTTTGGCCGGAGGCATTGCAACACCAGGCTCATGCACAGGCAGAGCAGTCCCATGACTCCACGGAACTTCACTATCGCTCTGTGTCAGCAATGCTAATTAAGGGAGTGGATTCTGAACCAGCTTTCTATTTTATTGGAAGAGCATGCTTAATCTTGCAGGGATTGATTTAGTCATTATAATTTATTAACATAATTAGTTTCTAAAAAGGGTGTAAAGTGACTCACAAAACTGCACTATGGCTGGGTGTTGCAGCACACACCGTTAATCTCAGCTCTTTGGAGGTAGAGGCAGACAGATCTCTGAGTTCAAGGCCAGCCTGGTCTACAGAGTAAGTTCCGTAACAGCCAGGGCTGTGGATTTCGACCAAAGGCTGTGAAAACAGGAAGCATTTCAGGAGCTGAAGCTGGGAACTGTACCCCAAGATGTGCTCTGTGTGGCTTTACACTTGTTGCTGGTGGTAGCAGAGTTGGCCCTCAGGTTTCTGTTTATTTTCATTTTTAATTAAGTGTACAAGTGGGGGAGGGGTGTATGAATTTACGAGTGCAGATAATCTCATGGAGCCGGAAATACAAGGTGTGGGGAGCTGCCCAGTGGGAATGCTGGACCCGAACTCAGGTTCTCTGGGAAAAAACAGTTTGTGTTCTTAACCACCAAACCTTCTCTCCAAGTCCCTTGTTTCTTTTATTTTATCTTATTTGAAACAAGGTCTTGAGACAAGGTGTATCTCAGGCTGGCCTTGAACACACAACCCTCCAGCCCCCCAAGTGCTGTGATTACAGGCACATGCCACCAAGTCCAGCGGAGAGGCTTCTCTTGGACATGTAACTAACACTTTCAAGGACGTCCTCAGTGATGTCCCTGTGGTGTAACAGTGGCTTCAAGGCCTGTGCCATACAGTGTCCTCTACCAGAGGTGGAGACGCCAGGCCCCAGCATACAACAGTGATCATGTCTGTAGGAAACTAAGATTCTGCCCATCACGGACACATGCCAGCTGTTTAACTTTACTCCGGTGGCTTCTGCTGGATCTCACTGTTAGCCACACCCCATAGATGTAACCAGTCAGCAGCTCTGCCATCCTCAGCAGTGGAGGTCGGGGGAATTGGTGTTCCCTCCCCACAGTCCTTTGCTTTAAGGCTCTGAGCTGCAATCGTGAACAGGACTGGCTGCTTCACCTGTCGTTGTAAAATGCAGCTCCTGTGTGCAAGACCCGAGGATTCTCAGATGGGCACATCCAAACATCAAGCCTGGTGTGAGAGGTCCTTCTGTCTATGTGTTGCTTTCATTGGTTAATGAATAAAGAAACTGCCTTGGCCTGTTGATAGGACAGAACTTAGGTAAGCCGGGAAAACTAAATGGCATGCCGAGAGAAAGAAGGCAGAGTCAGGGAGAGACGCCATAGAGCCACCAGGTCAGACATGCTGAACCTTTGCCGGTAAGCCACTGCCACATGGCGATATACAGATTAATAGAAGTGGGTTAAATTAATATGTAAGAGTTAGCCAATAAGAAGCTAGAGCTAATGGGCCAAGCAGTGTTTTAATTAATACAGTTTCTGTGTGGTTATTTCATGGCTAAGCTAGCCAGGCGACCAGGATGAACAAGCGGGCCCCTCCTCTGCAACATAAGCCAACCATCGATCCTTTCTAACAGTGGGACCCCAAGTCACTCATTCCAGAGGATGCTCTCATCCTTGTTAGAACTGATACTGTCATGAAAGCAAAAAAAAACAAAAACAAAAACAAAAACTAAGAGCCTGGGAGGACACCAGCTGAAAAAGCCACTTCTACCCGCTCATGCTGACCCTGACGTTGGAAACAGAGAGAATGCCTACCCTCTACAGAAGACGTGAGTGGTGGACACCAACTCACAGCTTGCTCCTCACACGTTACTGTTTTCCTCCAGGCCTCATGTCAGAAGAACAATGGGTGAATAAACAGGTCTTTGAATGCCCTCCAAGTGTGGTCCTTCCTGAGGACTGGAGAGAGACAGTTTGATTATTTAACTTTTTCTGGATGAACTCCCACAGAAATTTCCTTCAGGGAAAGGGTCAGCTGTCCCCACAACCTACAGTGTTCATGGAAACTGGAGGAGGGCACTTGCCTCTGAGTGACAGAAGGCTGTGGTAGATTCTCTTAGAGCTTTATTAGTATAGAATGATGGGAAGTACAATCACTGACTTGTTCAGTTTTGTTTTTCTTAATTGCATTGTCGGTTATGCAGCCACTTCGACAATCAGCTTTAGAATGTCATTGTTAACATCAAGAGAAATCCTGCACCCGTTAGCGATTACCCCAACCTCCTCAACCAGGATCCTACTTCTGTCTGTGTGGCTCTGTGTATTCTGGGCACTTCGCATGCATTGAATCATGGATCCATCCATGCTGTGGCACCCCCATTTTGGATAATGTTAGTGGTGTGGTGCATGGAATAGCACTCTGCAGGGGATTGTGAGGCTCGTCGAAGTCAGGGGAGAACTGGAATGACAATGTCATTTGGGGCATTTGTGTTTGAGATGATTGTTATATATCTACTGGGGTATTTCATCCATATGTACAGAGTAACTAATCATTTCCTTATACCTTATGTAGAAGTTGCCTTTAAATGAACCATAGACCTTTACAGACCCAGATAGAAAGCTAAAACTGCTGTTAAAATTCCTAAGAGAAAACATAGGTGAAAATCTTTCTGACTTGATAGTGGTAAAGATTTCCAAGGTAAAACAACAGGGAAAAAAAGCACGGAGTTTTTATAGTAAAGTGATCATCTTTACTTGGTCAACATTTAAAACATTTATTCTTTGAAATATATTTTTAAAAAAACAAAAAGTCAAGTCATCGAATGAAGTAAAATAGTCACAATACATAAAATACCCTTGCAAGTCAATAATAGACCAAATAACTTTTAAAAGATTAAATATAAGTGTGTATGTGTGTGCTCGTGTGAGCATCTATATGTGTACATGTTTGTGTGTGTGTGTGTGTGTGTGTGTGTGTGCGTGTGAACCCTCTTGTGTGCCCATGCCATGACACACACGTGAAGGTGGAGACAGCTTTACAGAGCTGCTTCTCTCCTCCCACCTCTATGTGGGCTCCAGAGATCAAGCTCATGTCTCCAGGCTTCCAAGGCAACCACCTTTACCCTCTGTGCCATCTCAGAAGCCCCCAAATAACCCAGTTTTTAAAATAGGCCAAGGCTGGGGATATAACTCAATCTTAGAGTGCCCTCTCAGCTTGCACAAAGTTCTGAGTTCCGTCCTCAGCACCAAATAGAAACGGAGTTAGTGGAGACAGCTGTGATCCCAATGCTCCAGGCAGGTAGATCAGAGTTCAAAGGCATCCTCTGCTACACAGGAGTTCAAGATCAGTCTGGGATACATAAGACCCTGTCTCAAGAAAAAGGAAAAAGAAAGCCCACCACTATAAGGGATGCTGATATCTTAGTTGGGAACTTCCAGTATAGCTTGTTCTTAACTCCTCACAATAAACTGTGTAAGATCAAGTGTTCTAAACAGACACAAAAGGATATGTAAAATTGTCCAGAAAGTACATGAAAATATTCTAATATCACTCTCCTATCAGGAAATGAAACTTAAAACCACAGTGCTATATCATTTCTACACCCATGAGAATCGTTAAAATTTTAAGCTTGACAATACTGAGTATCCAGAGTTGTAAAATAATTAGCAGCCTCTGTGCTACTTTCTGAAGTGCAAACATTTTGTAAAACAATTTGCTGCTGAATTTCTTCTCTCTCTCTCTCTCTCTCTCTCTCTCTCTCTCTCTCTCTCTCTCTTTCAACCTGTTTTTCAAGACAGGGTTTCTCCATGTAACAGCCCTAGCTGTCCTGGAACTGGCTATGTAGACCAGTCTGGCCTCAAACTCACAGAGATTCACCTGCTTCTGCCTCCCTAGTGATGGGATTCCGAGCGGCAGCACCACCACCCAGCTGAATTTGCTGCTTTCTTAAAAAGTGGCATGTCACTTAATATGAGACCCAGCCATTCCAGTCCTGCGTGTTAAGAAAAACAAAAGGCTTTGCTACAGGTTTAATTGTAATAGCCAAAGTTGGAAGACCGGTATGCAAATAAACATTCTATTGGTGCCTTTAACATGGAAGAGCAAACTAGTAATACTTGCAGCTAGAACGATGGATCTTGAGTCATCATACTGGATGAGAGAAGGCAGACACAAACATGTACAGCCAGTATGGGTTCTTTGCACAGATGCAGCCGTGTTCACATGCTATGAGATCATTTGTTTGTTTGGTTTGGTTTTGGGGTTTATTTTGGTTTTTTGAGGCAGGGTTTCTCTGTAGCTTTGGGGCTTATCCTGGAACTCGCTATGTAGACCAAGCTGGCCTTGACTCACAGAGATCAGCCTACCTCTGACTCCCAAGTGCTGGGATTAAAGGCATGCACCCCCACTGCCCAGCGTCATGAGATCATTTGTATAGCTACAAACTAATACAGACGCCAAAAGATCAGTGGTCCTGGGACTCTGCAAAGGGACATGGGAATTTCTCAGTGGATGAAAATACTCTTTGTTGTGATTATAGTTTCGTGAGTGTATGCAGTTGTCAGAATTCAATCACTTGCATACTTCCGATGGATTTAACGCGTGTCATATTTATTGTATGTAAAAGAGTCTTCAGTGAAGTTGGTGAGAGAAACAAGGATCAGTCTCTGAGCTATTCAGACAAGCTTTCTGTGGAAGGAAAGTCTGTCTGTATAGCTCAGGAACCCTTCTTTTTCGTGGACAAATGACCCACGGGTAACAGTACAGTATTGTTTTAGGGTCCAGAGGGTTGTTTTTAAGCTGGGCAATGCTTCTCAAGTGCCTGATTTTGGGTGACACATTCTGTTACACAACCTGAGGAGCTGCATCCTGTTTAGCAACAGCTTGAGGCAAAAACTTACACATGCTAATCTTCTCAAGAGGGACAGTCCAGGGGAAGTAGGAGCAGCAGGAGCGGTGAGCCAGGGAAGGAAAGGAGTGAGTCCAAGAAAGGCTTTCTTAAAGCAGGCCGCAACTCACAAGTAGGTCCAGGGTTTGCTCCTGCCTCAGAACATCTCAGGGCCCTTAGGAAATGCTGGCCTTTGAAATAATCTGTTGTGTGTGTTGGGGAGGGGTGTAACATGAGGGGCTGGCGTGTTGGGGTTTCTGTCCCACCCAGTACCACACAGCCGGCAACTCCCAAGGAAAATCACACACAGGACTCCATAAGGTTATAAACTGATTGGCCCATTTGGTCAGGCTACTTATTAGCTCTTATAACATATATTACCCCATTATCCTTATCTATTTTAGCCACATGGGCTCAGTACCTTTCTCAGTGTGACAGCTTACATGTTGCCTCTTCGGTGGTCTGTGCAGGAGTGGCAGAGGAACCTCTCTGCTTCCCAGAATTCTCCCAGTCTCTTTGCTCCACCCCTACTTCCTGTCTGGCTTTCCCGCCTATACTGCCTGCCTGACCAATCAGCGTTTTATTAAAATATGATTGACAGAATACAGATAATTCTCCTGCACCAGAGGGGGTGCCCCCTTTTCATCTCTGTCATAAAATTCTCAAGGAACATGAGCTCCTCAACCCCTCACACCAGAAAAGGGTGTCTCAGCAGCCCAGGTAAGCAGACTAGCGCTCCTGGTCACTGGTTGCACACACAGGCTGTTGGTCTATGGTGGTGGCTGATTCTTCGCCTGGGCTTTTGACCAGTGAGAGCTCCGGTACTCTTCCCTGTGACAGATTGGACTGAGAGGGAGAGAAGCATGTATCAACCAGAGGAGAGGGTAGAGTTTGATGTCTGTAGCTTGGAAAGATGTTGTAGGGCCTGGGAAGGTGGGAAATATCACTGTTGTACCCAAACATTCCCGAGCCAAACAAGACTGGCTGAAATAGGTATCTGTTTGAATATGAAATATTGCTCAAAAGGCTTTGTCCCCAGCTTATAGATTTGGTCATGTAGAGGTGATTAAGTCATAATGACTCTGACTCTATCAGTGAAATCATAACTTATTGAGAAGTGAAGGAGACTTGGATGGTAGGACCAGGTAGGAGTAAATTGATCTTTGAAGAATCAGTCTTGCCCTGGCTACCTGTCTGTCTCTCTCTCTCCTCTCTCTCTCTCTCTCTCTCTCTCTCTCTCTCTCTCTCTCTCTCTC